CCCCACCCTGTTCATCCCTGGCAGCGCTGTCCAAACGCTCCTGCAGCTCTGGCAGCCTCGGGGCCGGGACCATTCCCTGGGGAGCCTGGGCAGTGCCAGCACCCTCTGGGGACAGAAGAACCTTTCCCTGAGATCCATSCCAAGCYCTGACACAGCTSCAGCCGTTCCCTGGGCTCCTGGCCCTGTCCCTGTCACAGAGATTGTCCCGGTTTGCTCAGCAGGTGATGCTCAGCACAGGCAGGACACTCTGGGGACAGTCCCTCAGCCAGGGCTGCCTCTGGGGGTGGCTGGCCATGTCCCTGCCCAGCTCAGCTCCATGTTTCTTGCAGATGGACTCCATAACTCGCCAGACCTRTGGAGTTCCCCGGGTGCCATGAGCCAGTCGAGTTACGGTGCCATGCTGGGCAGTTCCTCGTCCCCGCTCCCGCAGTCCAGCGGCTTCAACAGTTTACACCAGCACGAACGCATGGTAACGTGTCCCCGGGGGCTGCCACCTCCCTGTCACCTCCTCCCCTGGCTGTGGCCACCTGGAGGTGCTGCCAAAGYCCCGCAGCTTTCCCAGAGCCCCTCTGACCACTTTCCCCTCCCTGCCAGAACTACCAGCTGCACCCTGGAGAGGTGAACGGMGGGCTCCCTGCTGTACCCGGCTTCTCCTCGGCCTCCACGGCGTACGGAGTGTCCAGCCACACGCCCCCGATCAGCGGCACGGACAACATGATGGGTATGGCCAATGCCACAGTGACCCCTTCATCCACAGCCGGGCACAGGGCACCTGCAGAGCCAAGGCTCTGACACACCCAGACACCTCTGGTCCCCCTTTGTGTCACCTGTGCCCGGGGAAGAGGYGCACTGAGGTTTTGTTTTGCTGCTGGAGCAGCTGGGTGCTGCTCTGGGGTTTGCAGCTTGTGGGGTGGGTGTGGGAGGAGCCCAGGAGCTCTGGCATTATCTCCTGGCGGTGCTGTGGCTTGGATGGGTTGCAGGAAGGGTTTGCACCTGTATGAAGATGCTCTCCTAAATCCGGAACGGGAATGTTTGTGRTGTGTTTGGATCTCACGTTAAACCTTGAGTGCTTTAATCTCTGACCCTGCTGAACCTGTTACAAAACCTGTTACTGAAATGAGCTCGTGCTCCCCAGGAAATGAGAATCCTGATATGGATTTGTAGAAAAACCCTTTGTTTTTCTATGAAGAAGCCACTTTAAGATTCGTAGAATTACAAAATAATTAAGGTTGGAAGAGATCTTCAGGATCACCCAGTGCATTGGTGGTTGTGGGAGCTTGAGCTGCCCCTGGCAGTGGCTGTGCTGCAGCAGAGATGTCTGATTGCTGCTGATGGCACTGCACCTCCAGAGCTGGGACAGATGTCCCTGCAGTCCCCCAGAGCTGCCAGGGGAAGGCAACTTGTCCTGGCTGCTCTGAGCCAAACAAATATTTAATTTTTGAACACATTTCATTTTCAAGCACATTTAATTTTTGAACAAACCCCTAAAAATGGACTATGTCCAGCCCAGAGGTGTTGTAAGGTGCTGTGTCCTGCTGGGGCTGGTGCCTTGGCACTGACAGCTGTGTCCTCTCCTGGCAGGAAACAGAGGAAGCACAGCCGGGAGCTCCGGGGACGCGCTCGGGAAGGCTCTGGCCTCGGTGAGAGTTGGGGATGGGCCTGATCTGCTCCTGCTGCTGCAGGGACTCTCAACCCAGCAGGGAGTCTGGACACGTTTGGGTGAATGCACCCCAAATCCATGAGCCTCTGAGGGAGGGCTTTCCCCTCTCTGTGCTGCCATCTCAGTCCTGGCATCATTTGGATGGGGAAACTGAGGCACTGCAGGTCATGGTGGCCCTGCAGTCCCATGAGCCCTCCTGGCCGTGTGCTGCTCTGCCCAGAGCACACACACAGCTCTCGTGGCAGAACTCACAGCTCCCAGCAGCCCTGGCCCTGTGTGTGCTGGTTCAGACTGGAGGGCACTGGTCACACTGGGTTACCARAGAGTTCTCTGTCCCCTTGGGTGACCCTTGCACGGTGCTGGCAGTGCCCCCTGCAGCAGCTCCTGAGAGCTCCTGCTCCCTCCCAAGGGGGACCCTGAAGAGCAGAGGGTGCCAGGCTGGTGACAGTGGGGACAGAGAGAGACCCTGGGGTTAATGGGGGAACTGGGCTGAGCTTTGTGCTGGGTTTGGGAAGGGAGAAGCCAGCCAGGGTGCCAGTGGGTGGTGGRTGCCACGGGGAGGGGACAGCTGGCTCGGGGTGGCACTGCTGACTGTCACACTCATGTCCCTGCAGATTTACTCCCCTGACCACTCAAGCAATAACTTCTCCTCCAACCCCTCCACCCCGGTCGGGTCCCCGCAGGGCCTCGCAGGTGAGTGACAATGAAAGGGTCCCGAAGGGGTCACGTTTGCTTCGGGAGCTCCAGGGTCAGCCCCAAACCCTCAGTGCAGAGCCCGGGGCTGGCAGTGACCCCAGGGCCTGCTCTGCCCTTCCTGACCCTATCCCTGAGTGTCCCAAATCGGAGAGGCTGTGCCTGSATTTGCCTCCAGTGGGAACTGGGAAGCAGCCCAGTGGTTCAGACCCCTGTTCAGCACACGGTGAAAGGCTGTCCCTGGTCGCCTCGGGCAGGACAGGTCCCACTGTGCCCATCAGAGCTGGTGCCCAGGCTCCCTGTGCCACGGTGCAGCCTGACATGGCCCCAAGGTCCCAGCGTGTCACAGACCAGGGACATTTGGGCACTTCTGGAGGGCTGAGCCAGAGCAGGGCTGTGGTGCCACAGTGTCCCACACAGTGCCACTCAGCTCTGTGGCCCATGCAGCTCATGGTGCCACAGTGGCCCGTGCAGTGCCATGGTGGTCCATGCAGTGTCATGAATGCCATGGTCACCTGTACGGTGCCATGGTGGCCCATGCAGTGCCATGCCGGTGCCATGGTGGCCCATACAGGACCATGCCAGTGCCATGGTGGCCCGTGCAGTGTCGTGAATGCCATGGTGGCCTGTGCGGTGCTCTGGTGGCCCATGCAGTGCCATGGTGGCCCATGCAGTGCCATGGTGGCCCATGCAGTGCCATGCCGGTGCCCTGGTGGCCCATGCAGGACCGTGCGGTGCCCCAGTGGCCCGTGCAGTGCCGTGCGATGCTCCAGTGGCCTGTTCGGTGCCGCACGTGGCACAGTGGCTGCTGTAGCGCCGCGGTGTCCCAGCTTCCAGCCCCATCTAGTGGCAGCCGTGGCCATGGCCGGTCCCCAACCCCGCGTTTGTCCCCAACCCCGCGTTTGTCCCCAGGCTCGTCGCAGTGGCCGCGGGCGAGCGGAGCGGGTGCCTTATCTCCCAGCTATGAAGGGAGCCTCCACACTTTGGTGAGTGGTACCGAAAATTCCAGCTTCTCCTTTTCTCTCCCATCCCTCGGGGYGTGGTGGTGAAGGGTTTTTGGGTGCCATCCTCTGCCCTGGAATCGGCTGGTTGGTCAGGGGTGTGTGTTTGGGTGGCAGCAGCTGAGCAGAGCCAAGTGCCACATTCCTGACCTGTAGACCCCTGGCAGCCTCCCCCTGCCCCCAGCCCCAGCCCAGCCAGGGGTCTGGCCCAGTCTGGCAGGGTTTGTGCCCCCCTACCCCACATGACCCCTCGTGCTTTTAGGGAATGGCACTGACTGGGGGTAGGAGGGTCATTTGTCCCCATCCCTGTCCTGTGGCACCTGAGTCCAGGACTGGCACCAGCCACTCTGTGCTGCAGAGAGCAGGAGGCTGCTGGATYTGTGGGGTTGTCATCATGGGATTGGATTGGAATCGTGGCATGGTCTGGGTGGAAAGGGATCTCGTAGCTCCTCTCACTCCACCCCTGCCATGGAYCTTCCACTGGSCCAGGTTGCTCCAAGCCCCCTCCAACCCTGGACACTTCCAGGAACAGGGCAGGTAACACTGAGCTGCCTCTGTCCTGCCCTTGCAGCAAAACAAAATGGAAGACAGGTTGGACGAAGCCATCCACGTGCTGAGGAACCACGCCGTGGGCCAGACCTCRGCCATGGCCAGCAACCACGGCGACATGCACGGGCTGCTGGGCTCAGCACCACCCCACAGCGCTGCCGTGGGCAGCCTGGGCCAGGCCTTCCCTGCCTCAGTCATGGCCCTGGGGAGCAGGCACCCCAGTCTGGTGAGTGGGAGCACTGGGGACACATTGGGGACACACTGGGGACACCCTGGGGACACGCTGGGGACACACTGGGGACACGCGCCTCGTGCAGGGTGCTCTGGCATTGAGGAGAACATGGCCATTGCTCAACAGCTCAGTGTGGTCCAGCCTGGGTCAGGTGTTGGCAGCACTGCTYGGGTGACGTGCACAGAGCTCCCTTCCCATTTCCCTGCAGAGTTGAGTCAGTGAACCCCAGAKTGGTTTGGGTTGGGGGGACCTCAAAGCCCATCCAGTGCCACCCCCTGCCCTGGCAGGGACACCTTCCACTGTCYCAGGGTGCTCCAAGACCTTGGGCACTGCCAGGGATCCAGGGGCAGCCACAGCTGCTCTGGCACCCTGAGCCCACCCTTGGCACAAGCTCTGTGTGCCCTTCCCTCATGCCCCTTCTCGGGGCACACAGAGGTGGTGAGAGCTGCTCTTCATTCCCTGCAACACAACTGCAAATCCCTCAAAACAACTTCAAGGCATGCCCAGGATATGCAGGGAGGTGCAGAAGGATCCAGTGGGTGTAAGAATGCCAGGTGTCACCAGGAATTCCCTGCTCTGAACGGTTTGGGCAGCCACCACATCCCCCTGTGCCCATCTTCAGTGTCCAGAGAACAACTTGTGATGCCCTTCCAGGCTCTCTGGGCTCTGCTCCTGAGCAGACAATCACACATGTGCCCTCTGCAGGCTGCTGCCAGCTGGGGACCCGGTGGGGCTGGCTCTGTCCTGCCAGTCCCCAGCCCATGTGGCACACCCTCGGGGCCGTGGGCTCAGCAGGGTCCCTGAGCCTTTGCCTGCAGCCCCTTTGGAGCCGAGTTCACACTGCTGGGATGTCCTTCCCTGGCTCTGGTGGCACTGGTAGATGGCAGAACAGTGGTGTTCAGTGGGGACAGGACAGCTGTCCTTCCCAGTGTGCTGGCCTGGCACCAGGCACAGAGGGGCTTTTTCTCGGGGGGACAGATCTGACAGGATCTCTGGGCTTGGTCCAGCTCCTGTCCTGAGCAGGGAGTGCCAGTGTCCCCACCGTGGTCTGCAGAGTGCTGCTACTGGAGTAGGCTGGCTCTTCTCTCTCCATTGCCGTGCTCCAGGGGTGAGGATGTGTGAGGGAGCTCAGGGCTGTGCCCAGCCTGGTGCACAGAGCCCCGGGCTGTCCTCGGGTGGCTGTCTCAGGTGGCTGTGTCAGTGACTGTCCCCATGCCTGCTGGCCATGGCACACCTTCTGAAGGCTCACTCTGCTCCTTGTGCTGCAGGTGGGAGGAGGCCACCCCGAGGATGGGCTGTCCAGCACCCCCAGCTTGCTCCACAACCACGTCACCCTTCCAGCACAGCCCAGCTCGCTCCCAGACCTCAGCAGGCAGCAGGACTCGTACAGTGGTAAGGCAGCTCTGCATGGGTGCAGGATGGGGTTCACCTGTGCCAGGGTCACCTCCTGGGCATCCCCTGTGGGGTTGGGTCCAGCCCTGTGCACAGCAGCAGCAGCGGGAGATGCGTGTTTCTGTCAGGGTGGTGCTTCCTTGCAGCACTCACAGGGCACTTKCTGCTGGGAGGAGCCTTTTCCAGAGTTTTCAGAGTCCCAGAATGGTCTGGCTTAGAAGCCCATTCTTAAAGCCCAACCCAGCCCTGGCAGGGGCACCTCCCACTGTCCCAGGCTGCTCCCAGCCCCAATGTCCAGCCTGGCCTTGGGCACTGCCAGGGATCCAGGGGCAGCCACAGCTGCTCTGGGCACCCTGTGCCAGGGCCTCCCCACCCTCCCAGGGAACAATTCCTTCCCAATATCCCATTTAACCCCACTGTGCTTGGCCTGTATTTCCCTGCCCCCTTGCCAGGTGAAGGTGCTCAGTGTTCTGCTGGGGAAGTTGGGCTGCCATTCTGGAGGCTCTGGGGAGAACAGGGAGTGGCAGCAGGGCAGAGCCAGCACCCCTCCCGCTTCCCTGGCTGTAGGGCAGCAGTGCAGGACAAGTTTGGGATGCCAGTGCAGGAGCAGGGCCTAGGAAGCCCCCAGCCTCATGTGTGGGTCAGGCCCCTCAAGCTCTGGGTGCTCTCTCTGCAGGCTTGTCTGGGGCGCTGGGGCGGAGCAGTGTCTCCTCAGGAACGAGTGAAATAAAGAGGGAAGAGAAGGAGGATGAGGAGAACACGTCAGTGGCAGATAACTCTGAAGAGGAGAAGAAGGAGCTGAARCCCTCCCGGAACAGAACAAGGTGCTCTTTGAACAGGTCTCTCCCTTTGCTTTCACCGTTCCCAGGCCAGGGCAGTTTGGGCTTGGATTTGGTGCTGGGCTGGCCCGATTTGGCCAAAGGTGGCACAGACCCCCCAGCCCCTGCCCACCCTGGAGCCTGGTGTGGCCTCACACAGCCTGGGCTCCTGCTGCTGCCCCAGGGGAAGGCTCCCTGCCATCCTCTCATGGCTCAGGGCTTCCTGGTGCTCCTAAAGCAGAGGGATGCACCTGATCCTGACCCGCCTGCGTGGACTCAGGCCRTGCAGGGAAGGGGCGGCTGCTCAGCCCCAGGCAGGGAAGGATTGACCTCTTCCCTGCCTTGGTGCATCTCTGCCCTCTGCTTTGGGCTCCTRTGCCCCCTGTCCCATGCAGCCAGAGCAGCAGCAGTGGCTCAGGTTCAGCACGCTGGCTGCTCTGCAGCCTCGCCACCAGCTCAGAGACCGCAGCAGGGTGGTGGTGCCCAGACAGGCTGCACCAGCCCCACTCCTGCCCTGGAGGCAGAGGGCTGCATCTCCCCAAAGTCCAGCTGGGGATTCCAGTGTCAGCCCTGACCTTGKCTGGGCCACCCTGCACTCTGCTGGCAACAAGCTCAGGCCTTACTCATATTGTGATTTCTTTCTTTGTTGTTATGAAACAAAAACCAAAAAAGAGGCAGAAGAAGAGCCTTAACTGCTTCTCTCCAAAGCCCTTGCGTGTCCCTGCGTGTGGCACAGGMCAGCAGGTCCTGGCAGGGCACGCGGGGGGCTCGGCATCTTGTGCCTCACCATGTGTTTCTTGTCTGTGAGTTGACCAGTGCTGAGAGTGCACACGAGGAATGTCCCTGTCTCGTTCTTATTTTAAACCATTAGTCAAGATGAGGATGAGGAGGACGATCTTCTTCCCCCAGAGCAAAAAGCCGAGAGAGAGAGAGAAAGGAGGGTCGCCAATAATGCCCGTGAGCGCCTGCGGGTCCGTGACATCAACGAGGCCTTTAAAGAGCTCGGACGCATGTGCCAACTGCACCTAAACAGCGAAAAACCGCAGACCAAACTGCTAATCCTACACCAGGCCGTATCAGTCATACTGAACCTGGAGCAACAAGTTAGAGGTCAGTGAGGGTCCCGGAGTGGTGATATTTTACGTATCTGATCGGCACGGGGCTGTCTGTCTGTCTGTCTCCTGTGACGTGCTGTGGTGCCTCGCACTGTCTCTCTCCCCTGTGGCCTCGGGGAYCAACCCAAGGCTGTCGATGTCCTTTTTTTTWWWTTTTTTTTTTGCCTTTTTTGCATCCATCCCTGCTGTTCTCTCCTTTGTCCCCCGCTGCCACCGTGTGTGCTGCATGCTGGTCCCTGCGGGGATGCCTGTGCCGTCCTGCTTCCCTGCAGCCAGGGGTGCTCAGTGCTTGGCCAGCAAAGTGACAGAAACACCACCAGCCAATCTCCCAGAGGGACCCAACTCCACCGTCTCCAWGGGCTGCTCYGAGYACAGASCCCRTTCCTGTCCCCTTTGTGTGCTCAGYGGGGCTCTGYRCTCCTGTCCCCGCAGTGTGGCACCTGGCAGAGCCCTGGCACCAGGGCAGCTGTGCCAGGGCTATGGGATGTCCTGGGCTGACCGCCCTCGCTGTCTGCACTCGCTGGTGTCCGACACAAGCTGGGAGCGCTGTGCATTCCCAGCCTGGAGCTGCTGGTGGGTGCCTGCAGGCTCTGCCCCTCACTGGGACACCCTCGGGACACCTCGCTTCCTTCCACACGCGTGTGCACTTGTGGGGTGTGTGCCCCCATGGTGTGTGTGCACCTTGTCACGTGTGCACTCACAGTATGTGTGCACCCATGTCGTGTGTGCACCTGTGTGTGCTGTGCACCCATGTTGTGTGTGCACACCCACGGTGTGTGTGCACCGTGCACCCACTGTGTGTGCATCTTGTCATATGTGCACCTACAGTGTGCATGCACCCATGGTGTGTGTGTATCTTGTCCCGTGTGCACCTATGTCATGTGTGCACCCATGTCATGTGTGCACCTGTGTGTGCGTGCACCATGCTGTGTGTGCACCTTGCCATGTGTGCACCCATGTCGTGTATGGACCCATGTGCGTGCACCATGTCGTGTGGGCACCCATGGTGTGCATGCACCCATGTTGTGTGTGCACCCGTGTTGTGTGTGCACCCACAGTGTGCGTGCCCATCCTCGGGCACAGTGTCCCCAGGGGAGAAGGGGGAAGTGAGGGGTGGGTGCCCTGCTCTGAGGGCTTGGCTGCTTTGTCCCGCATCCCGCAGTGCATGCTCTGCTCCCATTCCATTCCTGCTCCGCTCCCATTCCATTCCTGCTCCGCTCCCATTCCATTCCTGCTCCGTTCCCGCTCCATTCCCACTCCATTCCCGCTCCATTCCCGCTGCAGCCCGTGCGGGGTGCTGGGCAGGATAACCCTTTCTCTCTGCAGAGCTGTCGTAACACGCGTCGGGGGCTGTGCCTGCCTGTGCTCCTCTCTGCTGGCCTTGCTGTGCCTTGATGTTGGAGTCCTTTGTGCCTTCCTTCAGTTTGTAATTTTTTTGCCTTTCATAACATGTATATTTTTTCCTGTCTTCTTTTTTAATTTCCCCTTCCTTTTGATTTTTTTTTTCAAGTTTTTATTTATTTATTGGTTCTGTTCTTTCCGATCTCCTACAGACAGTCCCCAGCCGTGACCTCTCGGTGGTCCCACTCTACCTTGTACTTGCTGCTCACGAATCCCAGACAGGACCAAGGGTGGGGCAGGGCTTAGGCAGAGTTGGCACCGTGTTCACTTTGGTCTCCCACGCTTGTCCCTTTTTAAACCCTTCCTGGAGGCAGCTGAGGAAATGGCYGAGCCTCACAGGCTGCCCTCAGCAGTTAGTGCAGGCAGGAGTGTCCCCTCTATGGGTTTGTGCCTCTTTCCAGGGGACAATCCCACCATCACAGCCTCTCTGGCAGCGCTGCCGTGGGAGTGGGGCCATCAGGTCCCTGTGTGCCCAGCCAGGGCTGCTGGGGTCCTCCCACTGCCACAGCAGCTACAGGAAGGGAAAGGAGGAGRCTGAGGCATTTTGGGGATGCCAGGCAGGCAGGTTGGTGACCCTTGGGGCACAAAGTGACCAAGGCATCTCATCCTCACAACAGTGCAAGCTGCCAGCACTACGTGCTGGGTACATGGTGGGGAGACAGCTCTGTCCTGCCCAGGTGTGACATCCAAGCCTTGTYCCTGCTGGGGGAGCCACCAGCCAGGACCCACAATCACCAGCCTGTGCTGGAAGAAGGACCTGAGGTCCTGCTGTGGGGCTCTCAGGTGCCAGAATGGCCTCATGTCCCCGCCCATCCTGGGCGTGTGCAGAGGTGGCAGCAGTGCCAGCTGGGGCTGCAAGGAGGGGACAAAGGCAGGGACAAGGCAGCRAGGAGAGGGTGCAGCAGGGACAGTGGACAGCCCTCTGTCCCACACAGGCAAACGCTTGCCCAAGGAGCCCTTGCTGCCCCTTCACATGGCCAGAGGCTCCCCAGGAAGGCTCTGACTCTGCAGCCCCTTTGCTAAAAGTTCATCCCCACATGGCTCCCCAGGAGCCGAAGGCCACGGGCTGTCCCAGTGCCAGTTCTCACCCAAGCACCCTCCTCAGACAGGTGTCTTCCTGCAAGAATTTTTGCTCTGGGGGAGAAAGTCGTCTGGGCTAAACTGGGGCTGTGGAGGGGATGGGCAAGGCCATGGTTCAAGATGCTGCCAGCACAACTCTGCCTCCCCCATCCCTGCCTGTGTCAGGCATCCTGGAGTGCTGTCGGCAGCAGGGGCTCTCCCAGAGCTTCTGACTGTGCCTGGAAAAGAAAGTCACCCTTTCTGGCGGCTTTTGGCTGTGTGGAAAGATTGGGATTCAGTGTCTGCATTGGAGTTTGCTCCTCAGAGCAGCCCTGGCTCCTCCTCCCGGTGCTGCCCCAGCCCCTAAGAGGGTGCCAGGCCAGRCTGCTCCTGCTGCTGCAGCACCACTGCTCCAAACACCTCCCCTGGGAGCTGCAGATGGAATTCGGGAAGGAAATCTTACCAAGAGGGGTTTGCTTCCTGCCAAAACATTTCCTTGGGGGATGAATCTGATGTTTTGGGCGGAGACCCTCCCCCAAACTTTGAGTTTTTAGCCAAAAACAATCAGGAAGGCCAAATTTTGCTGAGGGGAGAAGGTGACAGTGGCAGTGCTGCGTCACTGCCCGCCCTTGCCCCCAGTGCCCCCTCCAGCCCCTTGGGCACCTGGCCCCGTGCTGGCAGCACCTTACCCTGGCCTGCAGAGGTGACACAGCCTGGGCTGCCCTGGGAGGCACCCAGAGGAATTGGCTTGGCAAAGTGAGGCCGTTTGGGCCGTTTGCAGTGGACACCCGGAGCACTTCCAGCACGGCAACATAGAGCCCCCCTCGGTGGCACCCCCTGACTAACCCCTGTGGTGCTGTGAACCCAGCAGTACAGACGAGGCCTTGTCACTGGAGGACAAAGATCTGAGGGACCGGGAGAGGAGAATGGCCAATAACGCCAGGGAAAGGGTGCGTGTGCGGGACATTAACGAGGCCTTTAAAGAACTGGGACGCATGTGCCAGATGCACTTAAAAACGGACAAAGCACAGACCAAACTGATCATCCTACAGCAAGCGGTGCAGGTCATTCTGGGCCTGGAGCAGCAAGTACGAGGTATGGTACCACTGGCAGGTGCATTTCGGGGCCTGTCTCTCCCCCTGTCTCTGCATGCTCCTGCTTCTCTGTCCTGACTGCTGCTTTCTGTGTGAGGTGTGTGTTTGCAGTGCCAGCAGCACCCCTGGGTGCTGAGCTCTCCCCGGCCCCAGYGTGGGGTGGATTTAAGGCTGCTTCCTCCCTCTCTGCTCATGCCTAATGGGAATTTGGCACCTGGATCCCATTAAGCAGTTTTGGAAAATTCAGTCCTCAACTTTAAGCGCTGGCTGAGGCACTTGGGGGTTCCTGTAACAAGCACATTGTGAGACCCTGGCACAGGGTGTCCAGAGCAGCTGTGGCCCCTGGATCCCTGGCAGTGCCCAAGGCCAGGCTGGACATTGGGGCTGGGAGCACCCTGGGACAGTGGGAGGTGTCCCTGCCATGGCAGGGATGGCACTGGATGGGCTTTGAGGTCCCTTCCTACCCAAACCATTCCACGATTCCATTTTTAATTGGTGTGGGGGTCCCAGCTGGGCCTGGGGTTCTACTGGAGCAGGGGTCCAGCCAAATTCTTGCCAAGACCTCAGAGCAGCGAGCTGTGCACGGAGCTCATCTCCTCACATGGTCTGTGGCTCTGCCTGGGATTCTGTCCCTGCAGCCCCTCGGGGATGCTGCTCCCGTTGTGATGCTGTTGCCCAGACTGAGGTTGCTCCCTTCCCTTGCTGTTTTGGGCACAGAGCGCAATCTGAACCCGAAAGCYGCCTGCTTGAAGCGTCGGGAAGAGGAGAAAGTGTCCGGAGTGGTAGGAGACCCCCAGATGACACTTTCAGCTTCACATCCTGGTCTAGGAGACGGTCACAACCCTGTTGGACACATGTAAAGGTACCATTCCCCACCTGTGATCCCACATCCTGCTGSAGGTCTGGACGTGTCCCACAAACCCTGCTCTGCTCTTGCTGCTCAAGCCCAGTCCCTCAGCAGCAGCCACAGCCCTGCTTCATTTATCTGAAACAATGACTTGCACTTGCAAGGCCCTAGCACAGGTTTCCCCATCCCTGAAAGTTTCCAAGGCCAGGTTGGACAGGGCTTGGAGCAGCCTGGGACAGTGGAAGGTGTCCCTGGCCATGGCAGGGGGGTGGAATGCAATGAACTTTAAGRTGTCTTCCAACCCAACCCAACCCATTCCATGATTCTCTCTATGTGTTAGGTGCCCCCGGACACCCAAAGCCTCTGGCTCACAGGAGGGTCCAACCCTGTAGCTGGGATGGGGGATTTTGGAGCTYTCTGAATGGGCTCAGCTCTGTTCTGCACTTGCCAGTCCTGCCCCAGCTGGGTACTGGAAACCAGTAACACTTCTTCCTTGCAGCTTTTTGGGAGGGAATGGGCAGGGCCTAAAAATGCCAAGAGAGTCAGAGAAGGTGAAAATCCCCCAATGAGGCTGTGGCAGGCACAGGCTCCAAGGGGCTGTTYCCATTTTTAAGGGACCCAGGAGCATCTGAGCCTGTTCACCTGAGCACTGCAGAGATGGTGGGGGGGTTTGAGCAGATCCAGGAGTGGTGTCCATCAGTCCCTTGATGTCCCCTGCCCYGATGGGTGCCTGGGGATGGCCTGACCAAAACAAAGGCAAAGCTCAGCCCTGCAGGGATAGGCTGCAGTAGCAGCCTTGGGGTCCTCTGTGCAAGGAGCACAGTTTTATTCTCATTTGGGTTTCTGTCACTTCAGATTTTTCTTTTTTTGTTGTTTTATTTGTAGATCTTTTTGTTCCTCTGGATACAGAGATCTGTAGGAAGAAAACCCTYGGTGTGACCTTGTTGAACCATAAACTGTAGTACTGCTCATACTGACACACGCAGACGGATCCTGGCGTGACGTAAGGGGTGRAAAAAACACTTTGTCAGAAACAAAACGGAAACAAAAAAATTGCCTTAAGTATAAAGTGCAGAACAGTCAATACATATCACTCAGTTAGGAGGGGGTGGCGTGTTCTCTTGGCTTGTTCACAAGCAGCCAGCAGCAAAATTGTGCCTAAGCTTGATATTTCTTTTTTAAAAAAAAAGAACATTAGTTATGAGATTTTTTATGTAGAACAAATAGCAATGCCTTTTGGTTTTTTTTAGCTTCTTTTGCATATGTTTTGTAAGCAACGAAAAGAATTTTTTTTTGTATAAAAACATGTCTTGTACCCTCCGCTTTTCTGCTGCTGTTTCTATAGTTAACGTTGCATCTTTAGGATCAACCAGAATATTAAAATTGTATTAAGAGAGACTGGATATAAAGAGAGGAATTCTCAGATTCGGCTCGGAAAGCCACTAAAAGCGAATGTAGCCACCGCGAGGGAATGTTCTTCCTTGCCTGGCTTGTACCTTCCATGACAAAAAACAAACAAACTCGTGCTGAATTCGCCATCTCTTTGCTTSGGCCACTTCTGATTTGGGAAAAGGAAGTTAAACAGCAAAGCAAGTGGCAGCAGTGCTCYCACTCCTCCTGAGTGGTGACAGAGGTGCTCTGCAAGGTTTGCTTTATTCCCGGAGATCCCGAGGCCCCACGGTGCCCTGTGGGAGAGGACGTGGCCCACGGCTGTCCCGGAGTGTTGCCATGGGGAAGACGAGCTGCTGGGACAGAGCAGGCCCCGAGTGGAGGAGAACCAAGGGCCTGGGGCACTTCCAGGTGAGCAGAGCAGCACTGGATCCACGAGGGAAGCACCTCTTCCCACACGGCAGAGCTGTCAGAGGCACTTCCAGGAGCAGCGCTGAACAAAGACCAACTGAACAAAGCTGGAGCAGTGGGAAGCAGCAGAGGCAGCCAGAGCACGGGCAGCAGCAGTGGGACACAGGGCCAGGAAGCCGAGCAGCAGCAGACCTGAGGATGCTGGAACAGGACGGGAGAAGCGACCTGGCTCACTCCAGCCCTCGGCAAAGCCACGACCAGCAGCAGGATCCCTTGTCCTTGCARTGGAGCCGCTGCCATCTGAAATGCAAAATGCTGACTCGGGGAGAGGGGTGGCTTCACACCCCGCTGTCACCTGCTGCCACATCTCTGGAGCCTCCTTGGAGGCAAACTGAGCTTGGCATGGTGCCATGGGATGAGAGTGGCCACCATCACCTGCATGTGGGCTCCTCTGCACTGCAAAGGAGGGCAGCATGAGCACCTGTCCCACACCACGTGCTCCAGCAGCCAAGCTGGGCCAGCCAGCCCTTCACTCCAAGGGATTCTCAGTCACTCCAGACTGCTCCGGTGCACTCAGCAGGAGGAAGATCCCTGGCAGCCCCTCTGGGTGCCCCAGAGGYGTGGAGCAAATCAAGAGGTGCTGGGCGGTGCTGAGCTGCAGCAGCCGTTCTGGAGATGGCCATGGAAAAACACCCACCAGGAATTTACTCCTGTTTCTTCCCTCTGCTTCCCCTTCTGAAACATTTTGTGCCTGGTTCTTCCCAGCTCTGCTGAGCCCAGTTGGCAGATTGGTGCACAGACATGGGCACTGATCTGGGGGCACGGAGGACTCCTCTCCCCTGCAGGGTCTATCTCTACCCTCTGCTGCTCCAGCCTGAGCTCCTGGGGAAGCTGAGTTGCTTTGGCATAGGGAAAGGGAGGGACTAGCAAAGAGGATTAGATCCTGTGGCACTTCACAGCAACCCCAGGCTTTGGCATAAYCTCCTGTTGCTCCTCCATGCTCAAGGCTGTGCTTTGTGCTCTGGCCAGCCCTGCTGGAAGTGCTCAGGGCAGTGCTTATCTCCTACCCACACCTGGGTACTGTGGCCTCAGGCCCTGTAGCAGCTCCGAGCAGAGCCACTTCAAGCGCCAGGGGAGGATGGGACTGTCCCTGCTGCCCCTGGCCCTGCCCAGGAGCTCCCCAACATCCAGTCACAGCTCTGAAGCTTTTGGGTGCTCCTGGCTTTTCCCAGCTTGCTGCTCCCASTATTCCTTCGGATGTGAGACCTCAGCAGCCCCAGCTCTGTCCATGGGAAGGCCAGGAAAGCTCAGTGCTTCCAGCAGCCCACATTTTTCTTGCCTGTGTCAACAGCCACATTGCAGCCTAATCAGCTCGTCAGGTTATGACACTTTCCTCCCTTGGGCTCTTCTGGCTGCTGAAGCARTGGGCAGGGAGATGGATGAGGTTTCCTTTCATGTGTGACAGCCTTGACTCCYCTTCATGCTCTGGAGTGCGATCTGAGGGCTCAGCAGCTGCTTTTTGTTTCATCCGTGAGAGCTCCTGCTCCATCAGTGAGACAGTGCTGGGGCTGCAGAGCTCAGGGGTTTTGGCTGGCTCAGTGCCCCTGTCCCAGGGCCAGGGGGCATGGAACAGTGTCCTTCACCCTCGCAAGCTTGAAACCCTACAACACRTATTTAAAAGTGCTTCCCAAACCCTTTGATTTTGCCCCAAGAATTRGAGGTGGCAGTCATGGACAACTGGACTTAATGGGACTAATCAAGAAAAATCCATAAATCCAACAAAATTGRATATTTGAGAAGATTTATGAGCTGTTCACAATTTTGCTGAATTTCTTCATCCCCTCTGAGTCCTGCAGGCCAGGGGAGAATCCTGACAAGCCAGAGCCTTTCTCACCATCCCTGGACCCCCAGGCATTTCAACAAAGATGAGGTTTTTCTGCTGCAATTAGGTGGTTTAAGATGTTGTTTTGACAGCAAACCCAGACAATGTCCTTCCATGGCAAGGCTTGGATGAAGATCCTTGAGCATAAACCCCTGAAAGCAGAGTTTGGAGGAGAGCAGCTCAAAAGCACAATGTAGGGGCTGGCAGAGCTGTCCCTGGAGCTGCCTCGATGGCACAGGGTGACAGCTTTGTGTGCCAGCCCAGTGTGGCCACAGTGGCATCTCTGCTTTCCAGGTGCTATGGGAACAATTGGGAAGAGCAGCAAGGAAAAATTCCTTTGTCTTTCCAGTGTRTTTGGCTCAGTGTGAAAATGGTGCCTGTAACCTGCCAGGGAAAGTGGCTTTTCTACAAAYAACCACTGCCAGGTGCTGTTCCCAAAATATCACCAGCCCAGSCCTGAAATGTCACCCTGTAGCAATGAAACTCTTGTCTTTAGRTGTCATGGTTAGTGAGGGCCACTCTGCACCCTCCCCAGCCCACAGTTCTGACATTCCACTTRGGATCTTACAGATCCTCAAACMTGCTCCTTTGCCTGTCCRTRTGTCCCTYRTACCRGTGGTGCTGCCAGGAGAGGTGACATGCTCTAGGGTGCCATTGATTCCATTTTCTGCTTCCTCTCTCAGCCTTGCATGCATGGCTGCTCCTGGGGACACGTGCCCTCCTCTTTGAGGGCCACTGATTCCTTCATCAGACAGGGGGCTGCYTTCCCTTCTGTGCAGCTTCTGGTTCCTGTTTTCCCAGGCTGCATCCCAGTGAAGCAGCAGAACTGGGACACTGCCATGTAACATTGCTTGTGTCTGGGGTCCTGAGCCCAAGGGCCTCCTCTTGCCCCCCCAACCAGCCCCCTGCCTCCCTGCACACAAACTGTACATGCCACAGTGCTGGGGAGTGTCTGGAATCCAGTCTATTCATGGTAAAATCGCAGGGTTTTGGTATTTCTCCCTTTACACCTGCTTTTTCCCCAGAGCAAAGCAGTTGTAGCCTCCCATGGGATGGTGCTCTAGCAGTGGCGAACCTGGCTGCTCCTGCTCACAGGCCCCCAGGAAATTCCAGCTGTTGGGCAGTAACCCCCTGCCCATGTCCCCCTGTCACACTTGCTCAAAGCCTGGTGACAGTTCAGCCCCAGCTCTTTGCCAGCATCTCCCAGGGCTCTCAGCTCCCCTGCATTTACAGGTGTCCTACAGAGGCGTGTTGGCAGGAAGGATGCAATCAAGCTGGGGTTTCCTCAGGAGGCTGCAATTCCAGATTCAGTGCAGAAGCTGCTCTCCAAGGTCCTTTGTGTCTCACCAGCACACCACTGAAGCCAGCAGAGCCTTTGGGCCCTTGCTGGGCAGTTCCCTTTGCGGGGGCTTGAGAAACAGGAGGCTTTGGAAACCTCCAATCCCCTGCATCCCTGAGCTCTGCTGTCAATTTTGGGGCCAGTGGAGCCCGAGCTCCTCTTGCAGGCTCTGCTGTGCTATACTGGGGACTCTGGGCCAGCTCCATTTCCATCCCTGGGCTTTGGGAGGTTAAGCAAAGCTGAGGATGGAACTGGGCCAGAACAAGCCCTCAGCCCTGCCTGCAGTGCTGACTAACGCAGAGCAAGCGCTGGCCACTGCACTCCCCCATTCCTGCCCAACACCAGCAAGAGCAAGGCCTTTWTTCTGTACCCTGAGCTTGCACAAGGTCTTTGCCCTGTTAAATCCTATGCAAATCCTATCCCTCTCCCCTCTCCCAGAGCCTGCAGATCCCAGCCCAGCCCATTCTCTGTGCTCTTTGTGATTGCTGAGTTCCTGCTCCCTGCTGTTCTCAGGATCCAGCTACATTCCCAGCAGCTCCAAAAGCATTTCAAGACCTGTACTCTGAAGTAGAGGCAGCAGATGTAGGAACAACCTTCCAACTTGTACTGCAGGAGCTGAGCACTCAACTGGAGGGGGCAAGACCTGGTCCTGGGGCTCCTCCATGCACCCTTCATCCTCCTGTGCCTTCTGCTCGATGCTGTTGGGGACTCCAAGCATCCTTCTTCCCCCCAGCCCCATGAAGGGAGAAGCTCTGTCCCACCTTGTTGCTGCCCAGACTGTTCTGTTCTGTTCTAACACCTGAGCTTCAGGCTTGGCTGGGCTCTTCTTCCACCAACCCGAAGCCTGAAGGGGTGTTTCCCTTCCTCCCATGCTCCCTGATCATCCCAGCCAGCTCCTCCATGCTGTTTCCCTTTGCAGAGGGGCAGCCCATGCCACCAGCTGTCCATCAGCTGGGGTGCAGGTGGGAGGATTTGGGAGGTGGGTGCTGCAGGTGTCCCAGAGCACAGCTGCCTCTTCCTTCCCTTGGGGCAGGTGTGGGGGAACCTCGTGCTCTACAYTTTGATTTCCAGAACAATTCAGCCCTTCTGGGGAGCCAGCACTGYCGTGCCTTGGTCTGCAGGACTCCCACCGGGAGGTGGCTCTGGTTGTGAGGGTGGTGCAGGCTCCGGGTGACCTTCTGCCAATCTTTATGTGTCCCTCTGCAGCCCAGCCCATGGCCAAAGGCAGTCCTGGGGTGTCTCCACACTGGTGTCTCTGTTCTTCTGGTTTTGTACCCCTCCTGCTCCTCRGGGCTCTCCATGCCCATCCCAGCCCGCCCAAGCTCTCGCTGTGGTGGAGGGCAAGACTGTAACACTCACCCTAGAACATCTTGGCTCAGCTGCAGCACCAGTTCAGGAGAGCTAAGGGGTTTCTGCTTCCAAACGGGGTGTCCTGGTACCAAGGCCTTACGCCTGAGAGCATCCCCATGCCCTGCATCCCTGGGCTGTGCCTGGAGCAGCCGTGGAGCTCCTGACAGCAGTGAGCTGGGGACACCGCAGGTCCCCCTTCTCGGGGCCACGTCTTCCCAAATCACTTGAACCCACCAGCTTTTGAGCAAACCTTGTTTTATGGAACCACGCGGGAAGGAAGGAGCTGTGGGAAGCCACACACCAGCTGTGGTTCATGTGCCAGGAGAGGGGAAAGGGGCACCTGGTGAGGCAGGACAGGGAGGATCCCAACCCCGCATGTGGGAATGACCCCTTGGGTGTGGACGGCTCCAGCTTGCTGGAGAAACAAAGCATTCCTGGGATGTTCTTTCTCTATATTTTTGTAGGAATGGGGGTGGGAGAGCAGATTGGAGATGCCTGCGGAAGTTGTTTATTTTTAACCCTGTAGAAAGTTTTGGGTTGTTTTTGGTTTTTGGCCTTTAAAATAAAAAATGGTCCTTGCTTTTGATGTTTATGCTGCCTACTTGTAAATCCAGATGTACTTAAGTGGCTGAAATCCTTGTTCTTAAATCAGATACACATTATAGTTTTGAACTATATATATAGTAAATATATATATATATATGCCTAACCCAGCAAAAAAAAAAATAAAAAAAATAAAGTATTTGGGGGTGGGAAATGCGTTGCTCTTTGAAATGAATCACAATTGGGGGATGAAATTGTGTTTCTGAGTGCCTCAAGATATGAATTGTTTTCATTTTTTTAAATAATTTTATACAAGTGTCAAAACAGCTGGCTGGATTATTTGGAATTTTTAAATAATCCTAACTTTTTTAAAGTAGATTTTGAGAACTGTCCTGTATATAACAGTAATGTAGCAATAAATGTGACATTTTATAACAATATTACTTTTTTTTCCCCATGTCTGTCCTTCAGATATTGTACCCCTAGGAATGAAAGTTGGAATAAAGGTTTTACCTTGTACTAAAAAACACCAAAAAAAAAAAAAAAAAAAAGAAGAAAGAAAACACCTGACCGGTTTTCAGAGCTTGCTGTGGGTGCTGGTCCTGCCCCCCACATCACTGTTGTTTGTTTGTCTCTGCTCCACCCTGGGGAGCATCCACAAGTGGGAAATCTGGTCAAATGCCCCCAGCCCATCCCAGGAGCCCAGCACAGACTGATCATTGAACCAGAGTCATTAAAACTGGAAAAGCCCTTTAGGATCATCAAGTCCAACTGTAAACTCACCACTAACCCATGCCCCAAGAACCACATCCACATTATCCACGTTGTTTGAACACTTCCAAGGATGGTGACTCCACCCCTCTGCCCTGGGCAGCCTGTGCCAATGCCTGACAACCCTTTTTGTGAAGGTTTTTTTCCTAATATCCTAAAGCTTACCTAGCACAGCTTGAGGCATCTCCTCCTGTCCTGTTCCTTGTTCCCTGGGAGCAGAGCCTGAGCCCCACCTGGCTCCATYCTCCTGTCCTTCAGGTTCCAACATCCCTCAGGGCTTTCATACAATCACAGATTGATTTGGGTCCTTTGGGAAAGGACTGTAAAGCCCATCTCGTTCCACTCCCTGCCACAAGCAGGGACACATTCCACTGGAACACAAGCCCCATCCAGCATGGCCTTGGACACTTCCAGGGATCTGCCTAGACGCAGCCATCCTTCCCCAGGTTTGCCTGTGTTTGTACTGTGCTGCTCCTGCTCGGGGATTGTCYGTACAGAGCAGGACAAACAGTCTAAACGAACTGAGAAGTGGTTCTGGTTAAATCTCCCTCAGCCCTGGTGCCTTCTCTCAGCAGTGAGMCAGCTCTGAGTTAGGGCACTGCCCTTCCCAGGCTGTTCCAGATGCATGGAATGACAGTCCTTGCACAGACACCACCATAAAATCACAGATTCATTAATATTGAAAAAGTCTTTTAAGATCACCCAGTCCAACCATTATTAACCCAACACCACCACCATGTTGACCACTAAAAATGTCCTCAGGAGCCACTTGCACACRTTTTGAACACTTCTAGGGATGGTGGCTCCACCACTGCCCTGGGAARCCCAGTGATTTACAACTCAGATCCAGACAAGGGAGAAGCGTGTGCTTGGGAGTAGCCTGGAAGATGGATGCTCAACAGATGCACAAGGTGGAGCATAAAACAGGCGAGTGCTGGTGTCCAGAGCAGGCTTGGGCTGGGAGAGCAGGTGAGGACAGGGACAAGGAGCAGCACACAGGAGCTGCTGAGAGCAAACAGCTTCCCAAGATTTGAGCAGCAGCCAGCAACTGGGGCAGAGCTGGAGGTTCCTGGCCAGCACTTTCTCTCTGGAGATGAGCCAACAGGTGGGATTTGACTGCCAGATTCTGTGGGCAAACGTCATTGTTCTGGCACTGCCAGACAGAGAATCACAGAATCCCAGAATGGTTTGGGTRGGAAGAGATGGTAAAATTCATCCCATTCCACCCCATGCCACGGGCAGGGTCAYCTTCCACTTGTCYAGTGTGCTCCAAGCCCCAATGTCCAGCCTGGCCTTGGATTCTCCCAGGAATGGGGCAGCCWCAGCTGCTACAGGGTATCTGTTCCAGTGTTCTTCCAGCATGTTCACAAAAGGCTGAGCAGGCTCAGAACTGGGAAACATTATGGAATTGATGGTGATTTTATGGCACTCTCCTGAAAAACCTGGCTGGAAACTCACTGTCCTGTAGGGAGAGATCGGGGAGGCACTGACAGACTCTAGGAAGGGGTCACTTCCCTCCAGCACAAAAGACTGAGAAGTAGCTCAGTAGAACAATGCCATGCCACAGGCCCAAGGTCCCCTCTCTACTGCAGGGGACAGCTTTCCCTCAGGGTGGCTTGTGTCCCCTCTCCAGTGTAGGAGCAAGCACATCCCTGCAGAATCTGTGACCACTCAAGACTCATGTCAGGACTGGTGTCCCCTCTCCAGTGCGAGGACAGCCCATCCTCTCACAGCCTRTGTCCCATCAGGGCCAGTGCCAGAGCTCATGGCCCCTCTCCTGCATGGGGACAGGCTCAAGGCTCGTGTCCTTCAGAGCTCATGTCCCCTCTCCAGTGTGGGGACCACACATCCCCTCATCTCATGTCTCCTTAGTCTTTGTGTCCTCAGAGCCCATGTCCCCTCAGGATGGCCCGTGTCCCCTCAGGGTGGTCCATGTCCCCTCAGGGTGGCCCGTGTCCCCTCAGGGTGGTCCATGTCCCCTCAGAGCCCATGCCCCTCAGGCTGGTTCGTGTCCCCTCAGAGCCCGTGTCTCCTCAGAGCCTGTGTCCCCTCAGGATGGCCTGTATCTCCTCAAAGCCCATGTTCCCTCAGGGTGGCCCGTGTCCCCTCAAGGCGGCCCGTGTCCCCCCAGAACCCGTGTCCCCTCACAGTGGTTCATGGCCCCTCAGGGTAGCCTGTGTTCCCTCAGGGTGGCCTGTGTCTCCTCAGGATGGCCCGTGTGCCCCCAGAATCCGTGTCCCCTCACAGTGGTTCATGGCCCCTCAGGGTAGCCTGTGTCCCCTCAGAGCCCGTGTTCCCTCAGGGTAGCCCGTGTCTCCTTAGGGTGGCTCATGTCCCTCAAGACAGCCCGTGTCCCCTTAGGGTGGCTCATGTCCCCTCAGGGTGACCCGCGTCCCCTCACGGTCCCTCAGGACAGCCCGTGTCCCCTTAGGATGGCTCATGTCCCTTCAGGGTGACACACGTCCCCTCACGGTCCCTCAGGATAGCCCGTGTCCCCTTAGGGTGGCTCATGTCCCCTCAGAGTGACCGATGTCCCCTCACGGTCCGTGTCCCCGGTCCCCACAGGCGGTCGATGCCGTCCCGGCCCCAGCCCCGCCCGCTCCCGCCCCGCGCCTGCTCGGATCGGCCCCGCCGCCACCGCCGAGCCGGCACTCGGGGTCACTTTGAGTCGGCGCCATCGCCATGTTGAACCAGCTGCTGGGGCCGCGCTATGTGCAACTGATAAAGAACTGGTGAGGAGAGGCCGGGCTGCCCACCCGGCACCGGTTCTGCCCGCTGGAGCCCGCTCCGACCCGGGCTCTTGTGCTCCAACCCATGCGGCCCGCCAGGCCCCGAGCTCTTGCCCGCTCCGGGCCGGCTCGCTCCTCCCGGGGTCCGCTCGTTCTTCCCGGGTCTGTCCACCCGACCTGGGGCTCCTTTGCGCTTGCCGGGCCCGGGGCTCCGCGGTGACGGGATGGGAGCGGCCTGCGGTCCCCTCACGGTGTCCTGCGGGCGCGGCCGCGCACCCGGTGCGCTTTGTGGGAGCCTGAAGGGCTTCCCGACACCTTGTGGGAGCCCTTCCTGAGCCCTCCCCGTTCCTCCCGCGCTCTGTGCCCTGTGAGGTTCGCTGGGGCCGGTCTTGGGGTCCGGAGCGGCGTTCGGGCTGGGGGTGAGGGGCTTAGGAAGCGGGGAAGGGGCTCCCCAGCCGCCCGGCCCTGCCTGTCGTTCACATATGTAAATATCGCAGTGCCCGTAGGTGCCCTTTGCGGGGCTGTGGGAGCAGAACGAAGAGTTCTATGGGACAGAGCCAAGGGGATGCGGCTGCTGCATTGTATAGCACTGTGTTTTGTCTTTGTCGAGTAATCGTCTTTTTAAGTGAAAGAATGTCACTCTTTTCATATAAAATACCTTGTCTGCCCCGTGGACTAATGCCTTTCTCTGTTGGTGAGGTTGTTAAAGTATTTCTGTGTCCACTTTGGGCACCACGAGATCAGGAGGATCTAAAGCTGTTGGAGAGTGGCCAAAGGAGGGACACGGAGCTGGGGAAGGGTCTGAGGAGCAGCTCAGGGCTCTTGGCTTGTTCAGCTGGAGCAGAGGAGACTGAGGGGAGACTCCTCGGGGGCTGCAGCTCCTCCCGAGGGGAGGTGGAGGGGCAGGGGCTGAGCTCTGCTCTGGGACAGGGCCAGGAGCCCAGGGAACGGCTGGAGCTGTGTCAGGGCTTGGGATGGATCTCAGGGAAAGGTTCTTCTGTCCCCAGAGGGTGCTGGCACTGCCCAGGCTCCCCAGGGAATGGTCCCGGCCCCCCGGCTGCCAGAGCTGCAGGAGCGTTTGGACGGGGATACAGGGATTGCAAGGTGGGGTTGTTGGAGTGTCAGTGCAGGACCAGGGGCTGGACTGGATGATCTTTGTAGATTCCTTCCAACTCAGGGTATTCCAGGATTCTAAACTCTTTTCTGATTGAAGTGATTTTCTCAGGTACTTCATCATGAGCATCTGCCAGGCCTTTCAGAGTGTAGGAGGTTTGTTCTTTATCTGTGCATGTATCTCTTCTTTAGGACCCCCACCGTCGTGACATGGGGTGGTGTGGCCGGTGTTGGTGTGATCTGGGCCACAGACTGGAAGCTGGTCCTGCAGTATGTTCCGTACATCGGCGGCAAGTTCAAAACTGAAGACTGAGCTTCCCTCTAATGGTGAGTTTTGTTTGTGCATCTCTTGGCTTAAGTAACAGAATCATAAAATCACAGAATCCGAGACTGGTTTGTGTTGGAAAGGAACTTAAAACTCATCCTSTTCCAACCCCTGCCATGGGAAGGGACACCTTCCATTGTACCAGGTTACTCTAAGCCCCATCCAACCTGATCTGGAACACCTGAAGACAATAACCCTGTGTTAGTGTGACCGTGGATGTTTTCTCTTTGCCTGGGGCACAGTCATATTTTTTTTGTCCAAAATGGCTCAATTTGATTATTGAGACTTTTTTTTTTCTTTTTTAAATCAAGTTTCATAGACCACCAGAAGGATGAAGTATTGTTTAGAATATGTTTTTCAAGTGATTGTCTTGTAAACAGTTGGTTTTCCACAGCATAATGTGGTTCTTAAGAGGTCAAATCAAGCTAATTTGGAATTTTTGACACATCTATTTACTTCTGTTCCTGAGCAGAAGGGCTACAAGCTCAGGACTAGTTTTGTGACTAGGCAAATTCAGACCCCTTACTGCTCCTTGTAACTGGTGTTAAAAGTAAATTGAACTTTCCGGGCTGTTTATTGTATTCCACAAATTCCTCGGAAGATTTGCTTTCTCAAGGTTTTGGTTATCTTCCTTCTTTAATTGTGTATCAGAAGTGTTGTTCTCAATGTTCTGGAAGCCTGAGCATCCCTAAAGCTGGAGCAGCAATTAGACAATCCTCCTTTTGGGGCTCTAATTACGTATTTTTTCTAATAGGCAGTCTTTGGATTTCTTCATTTCTTGCTGCTGAGAGAAGGGAGTCAGGAAGATTTTCCCCTTTGAAAGGGGAAGATTTTCCCCATTGAAGGATCCTAATGAGAAAACTCTGAGTCCAAAGGAAACTGTGCACCCCAGTGTTTTGTTTCTTCTTGTCAGAATAAGTTACATCTAAATGTTGATTAATGAAAATGAGTTACTTGTGTTCCAGCTACACAGTATTTTGTAGGGAAGTCAATCAGTTTGGAAAGCACAAACAGTACTTTTTAAGTCTTTTTTTCAGCAATACGTGTTGCAGTTTAATCAAATGTGTGCAAATTTGGTATTGCACAGATCCTTCTGTGACCAAAAGGGGAATGAAACTTGTCATGGAAGTCAGCTGAACTGGAATCATTTGGGATGATTGTGATGTTTACAGACAAGTCACAGAACAGTCGAATACTTTGGGTCGAAGGGTCCTTAAAGCCCATTCAGTTCCAACCCCTGCCATRGGCAGGGACACCTKCCACTATCCCAGGCTGCTCYAAGCCCTGTCCAACCTGGATAGAGAAAAATTCCCAAGTGGAAAAGCTCCCAAGTTATGTAGAGTCAATTAAATTACCTTGTAAGGGCTTTCTCTACTTAAAAACTGTCACTTATGAGAACGCAGCTCTGTTCCTGAGC